AGGAGCCCTATTCTGGAGCAGTAAGCAATTAGCCAAGATTTTTTATTTGTTCCAGGCCTTCAGAATTAAGGCACAAAAGGAAAGAGTTTTCCCATTGATGCAACATACAGATTAGAAGAAGCAATTTATTCATCCATATGCTAGACCCTAGGGAGGTAAACATGTGCAATGACACTGTGCAACTGCTGAGCTGATAGAAGAGCCTGTACAATTCCCATGTTTCTCATTTTTCTACCCCTAGACATTTGGTTATCATTGCCATCACCGTTATCAGAGAAAGTAATAGTGGACCACCACATTATATTGTAACTGTCACACTCCTGCCTGGGAATAATGTGTTGCCATTGCTTAGGCCCAAGGACAATCCTTCTACTAATGCACAGCAGTGGGCTGCAAGGTGAGGGTTGTGGGGAGAGTATTACCCCCACCACACGTTGGACAACCATCAAGCAGTATTAACACTTAGGAAGTTTTAAGTTATAACTTAAACCATTAGATAATAAAATAGGACCAAGTGCTACTCTCAGTATCATCGATTATTGAATGCAGGATGGTGGTGGATTATCCAGGAATTTTCTTCCTCTGGCTTTCCTCATAAGAACCAAATCATTGTTCATTAAAACTTCCTGCGGAGGGCAAACAAGGGAGGGGATGCAGATGAAATTCATTTTGGAACTTGTTAGAAGCATTGGTGAAAGGTCTGGTGGACCTGTAGTAACAGTCTCTTTATATTTTCTTTTTCTTTCAAAGAAATCTTGTTTTCCATCAGTGAGATTTATATGGTGACTAGAAAATAGTACGTGTGCTTTGACTTTCCAGATAAAGGAGTTCTTCAGAGAATGACTTCAAGAAAAAAACCAAAATTTTCTCCCATTTCATATTGAATATTAATTTATAATTTATAGTTTTCCTTTTAAGACTGATTACATCACCAAACCAAACAAAAGTAGAGTAAAATATTTCTAACAGAGCACATCAGTATTTATACAATAGCAGAATCTATTTTCATGTTAAAGGTGATGGACCCTAAATTTACTAATGAATCAAGCAAGTGTGAGAAACAAAAACTCTAAACTGATTTTGGAAAAAGAAAACAAAGAATGACTTCAGAAAAAGTATTATTATTAAGAAAGAGCATGAGTTAAAATAATAAAATCTGTGGTGAAGATATCAGAAACTCCAGATTCTAGCCGACCTCCCCAAGCACCACACACCCATTGTCACTGTATGGGAAGAGAGTGATTTCAGGCAGGAACGTGCTGCGCCTGTCAGCAGAGTGGTGGGCTCCACGACCTGAGGGCCGCTGGAGTCTTAGAGAGTAAACTCAGTAAGACCGAACTGACTCAAAGACGACAGCAGACATGAGGGGAAAGACAACTGTGTGGATGCTGGTGAGGACTAAGGTTTGACTGTTTAAACAGATAGTCCATAAAAATGAATTCCTCTATTAGTCACAGAGATGAGGGTTTTTTAATTATTATTTTTAGGGCTTTCTGATAACTGTGATACTCCTGGGGCTCCAAGAGACAAACACAGATGTCTTTTCATACATTAGGTGGGAAAAATGGAATGCATAATAATGGTGATAATAATGAGTATCAAATCATTGTTTACCACATGCACCATATGACGTGCTTCACAAATGACATGACAGCTAATGTTTATTGAGTGTTATGACGTACAAGTCACCATTCACCATTTTTACATGTTTTAACTTATTTATTCCTCACAACACTATTGTAGATACTATTGTGCCTGCTTAATCAGGAGGAATTTAGGATGGATGGTGTCACATTTTAATCTAAATTTCTTGTATAAGTCAAATACAAGTCTCTCAAGCAGGCCCCTGCCTGCAGGGATTGCTTTTGCCCCCAGTGGCTCCTCCGGCTGGCCAGACTGACAGCTGCTGAGAGGCATCCCAGACAGCTCCAGGTGCTGGTGACATTGGACTCCAACTTCAGTGGAAAGGATTTTGATTGCCCAATGTTGATTCATGTGCCACAGTATTGTTTTATTCCCATTTTAAAAAATTATAGTAAGATAACAAAATTTGCCATCTTAAGTATTTGTGTTTGTAAGTGTACAGTTGAGTAGTGTTAGGTACATTCACACTGCTGTACAACCATTCCCCAGACATCTTTTCAAGTCTTGCAGAACTGAAACTCTACACCCATTCAATAATCCACAGACCCATTTTGCTTTCTGTCTCTGAATATGACTACTCTAGATATCTACCTCATAATAAGTGGAATCAACATTTGTTTTTCATAACTCACTTCATGAGCCATAGAAATTTCACAAACATAAAATTATGCTAATGCAAAAAATTAACAATCAACAATAAAAGGTTTTTATTATTATTACAAAAAAAGGGCAATGACAATGGATGACTTGTGTATTTTTATTACCCCAATGGAAATTATTTTAACTTATTTTTTGCATTTATAATGATTTACCTAGAGCAAGAAAAGTTTTGAACCAACACATGCTACCTATGATAAACAAAATACATATCAACAGTAGACATGTAAAATTTATTACCAATAAGATATTTAATACATTTTGCATTTAGTTTATCAGATGCAAAGTTTATGAGACATATCTTTCTATGTTTTATGAAATATATGCTATGTTCACTAAGAGATGCATTCCTAGAGACTTCTGTTTTAACTTTATTGCCTTTTTTAAATAAGTGGAATACCTTTGTCAATTACATACCCAAGTCCAGTGAAAATTAAATACAATATAGTTCTAAGACAAATAGTCATCAATACCTTGCATTTAAAATTTTATTCTTAGACTAAAAATTGAGAGCACCTAGGTCAAATAATAGCCTGATGTTCTTGTCACCCATCAGATCATTACATTCTTAAAAATTATTTTCTTCCTTTACAAACAACATTAAGTAGATTGTGATTTTCTTTTTAACAAAGCATTCTAGGAATGTTACAACTCAAATTTCAAACTTACATTTATTTTCAAAGAAAGCTCAAATTTTCTGTTCAACATTGTCCTTTCATGACCTCTGATGGCGAAAGCGTAAACTGACATTACAAATATCAATGGAAATAATGCCACAAATTCCATTTACCTTGTTATTGAAGATCCTTTCCCTTCTTTTCAGTCTCAGCTTGTGTTCCTCCCAAAAAGGCTTCCCTACAAGTAATTTATCTGGGAATATGACCCAGAGATCAGGAATAATGAAAGGGGGGTGGTAAAAACAGGAAAGAAGAAAAGCTGAAATACAGATGCATTGTCAGAATGACTATGGCTGTGGCCAACCAATGCTGGACTCCATAGTCCTACCAAGTCGCCCTAATGAAATCCATGAAATAAAAAGAAGGATTTTTCCATGAGTTTCCATGTCCCATTGGTGAAGTTGATGCTTTGGACTTTGACTACCACATAACCACTTGTAGATTGCACTTACAAGGCAATTCAGTGGGAATCACACATTTCTATGTCAGAAAAGTTTGTGCATCACTCAAAATCCTCTCAACCCTACATTTACTGTCCATTAACTCCAGTCTGCCATTGAGCCTCCTACAAGGTGCTGGCCAGCCGCAGTTTCTGCAAGAGCGTCTGTGAACTAGCCAGTCCCCGTTGCTGCGGGTGGTCCCAAAGCCATGCTGATAGTCATCATTTCTCTCCTCCTCTACTGATGACACGTTTTTCTGTGTTGGCCAGCACCTCAGCTGATCTAAGGTTGTTTACCTGATAGTGTGACTCAGACCTTCTTAGTCTGGGTTTGGCTTGCTTTGCCGCCATCAGGACATAACTGCTGTAACTTCCCATTCACCATTATCACCTGGCACAAAACACCAGGGCAGAGACTGAGACAGCTGCGGCGGTAGAGAGGCCCAGAGGCAGAGACCAGCTTGCTGCGTGCAGACTCGCTCTCAGTGGCAGGATTCTAGTGATTGACTTGTCACGGTGGGAATAAAGTTGAGTATAAACCCTTTCACCCCAAGAACGTTCTATTGTCATTTTTTGGTCTCATTGAATCCATAGTGAACTTCCCTGAGGCTGAAACCCATTGGCAAGACAGCATCCATCCTGGGGCCAAAAGGGAATCATCAGCCCTGTCTTGCCAACGGGTTCATGTATCACACTTAGAAACAAACAAACAAAAAATATCCTAAATTGAATTGACGTGTACATCGTAAGGATTAAGTGAAATAATGCATGCGAGGCTATCAACTTCAGTGCTCAATAAATAGTAGCCTTTAAAAAATATTATTATTATCCAAATCTTTATTTTCGCAACAGTTCTTGGAATATATACATTTGTATCGTAATAGACTTGCTGAATGAGAAGTTAGGGCCGGAGATGGGGTTCCTTAACCCTGAGCCGCTAGTAGCAACCCTTTCAACTATTTTACTTAGTGAAATCCTAAATGCTGTCCTCTGAAACTCCAGCTTGTGGGGTTTTTTTCCTTTTTAGAAAGAAGAAAAAGCTAAAATAAAATAAAATCCAATAAGTAATTGTAAGATGCCGCTATATGGGGGGAAAGGAGGGGTACCGGCACACCTTGCAGATATTCTTAAATGAGTAGCGGGTTGCGGTGTGTAGGTGTATTTTCAGTTCTTGCCCACTAGATGGTGGAAGAGTCCCTATCCTGACAACAGTTCTTTCTCATAGGTTCGCATTTTTCTTGAAACGCCCCCACAGGGCTTTGCACATGGAGGAAATCAAGTAAGTTAAAATTTTTCAAAACTTCTGCATGGAAAGCAAAGAGCGGAAACGACAAGTGTAGGGAAGAGAGAAGATGCGAAGTGATGAGAAATCAGGAAATAAAAGGACCGCGGGGGCTAAACTACATTTCCCAGGAGGCGTCGGGCTGCGCCTACATCACCCATCATGCCCGAGCTCCGGCCCTAGCCGGTCTTCTCAGGAGTGCAGAGAAAGCCGCGGGAGTCTTCGTTGATGGAGCAGCGGCGGCTCTGATCCACCAGATTATTCCGGGCCATGGCTTTTGCCACCTTCCTTCCTACCCGCAAAAAGATACGAACAACTTTCCAGCCCGGGCACGAGCCACGTGACCGGCCAGTGTCACGTGACCGCGGTGCTGGGCCGCGGAAGTCTGTTACCGTGGCAACTGACCGGACCCCACAGCTTTCCGGGGAAGCGCGGAATTTAGAGAGGTAGGTAGGTGAGTCGCGGACGCTCGCTTTGCACCCGGTTCACCATGGCCGAGATTGTCCTCAGGCTCGCTTTCCAGGGCCACTCTCTCCCCTCCGCCCAGTCTCCCCTGCAGGTGCGTCTTTGTCTTCCTGCCAAGTCCGGAGCCCGCGCTTCCTGCTGGGGCCCCCGTGGAGCTGAGCCCTTCCGGGGGGATCCGCCTCTCACCAAGATCTGAGGCCCTGACCTTAACCACACACACTCTCAGCCGAATCGGAAATGCGCAGTGTGTGGGAGGAATTGTTCTGCAGGTTGAGCAAAGTATTATCCAGGTCTGCACACATACTTCTCCCTCCCTTGCCTCTGGAAATAAGCTGCAGTTTGAGCTGCCTCAAGGAGTTACAATCCAGAATCTGTAGGAGATCTGAAGTTGGATTCAAAGAGAGCTTTGCGTTCCAAGTCACTATTGCATAGTTTTTGCTGTATAGTTTGTTCTCTTCAAAAGAAACAAAATTCGTTCTGGTTTGAATACTCCATTAATTTAATTTTTTGGTAGATTCTGAGTCTTAAAAAATTACATTTGTCTGTATCTGGAAACATCCATATCTGTAAGCTATCTAGTTCGCAAAACTGTTAATATGGATTGATAAATAGCTGAACCATAAGGTGCAAAAACTCTGTCCTGTGCTTTGCAAAAAAGAAAGTGTTTTGGATTGCTAATTTACAATTTTTAAAAGATTCTTCAAGTGGACTTGGTTTGATTAAGAGATGTTAACACACGCACACACACACACACACACACACACACAGCCCTCTAATATGTACAGATTTAGTTAATATTGTGGAAGCCATCTTTTAACAATTCAATGTTAACAATGAAAATGTAATTCTGGATCTTAAGTGCATGACAAACTGTGAAAGCTGCTTTTCCAGATCAGTTTTATTAGTGAATTAGGAATCTCTTGTCCAGCTGACTGGTCCGTATTGTGCATTTATGCTAAGTCGTAAGAGAAATAAGAGGTGTTTGAGGTTTAAGTCTGGTTGTTTTCATGATGTAATGTGGATTTCATCAAAAAGGTGTTTATTATTGTTTCTTGTTTTATAGTGTTTTCAATGTTTTCAGTGGAATGTTTAGTTTGAGAAGTGAAAACTGTTGATTTTGGCTTACTATTCCAAAGAAGAGCTGGATGAAGAATTTGAACAGTTCATGAAAGAGGTAAGTTTATGTTTTTAAAAGTTTTATTGTAAATTTGTCTCATAAATTCATCTTTCAGTTCTCTCTCACCCCTAAGATACAGTCTGCCTACCTTGAAAATAAGACAGCTAGTTATTTTACCAGCAAAGTGGGTTTATTTGGGAATGGCAATTTGGGACGAGCAAGCTATGGCAAAACCATAGGCAAATCCAGAAAACAAAGGAGAGGAACATTATAGAGGAAAAAGGAGGAAGTTGGAAGGGGCTGTTCTGAATAAAAGTACATTGGAAGAAAGAGAATTCAGGGTGGTGACGATTTTCTGTTGACTGAGCTGTTGCTGAGTGAGGAAAAAATCTTCCTCCTCCTGGGGTAGGAAAATAGGCTCTTCCTGTTGGAAACTAAGGTACCCCTGTCGGGTTCTGCGATGGGTGATGAGTTGGTGGGGTGAGAGAGCCCTCCCAGCTGTATTTCAAGTGAAGTGCCCTCTTTTCAGTCTCACATTTCCCCCTTTTGATCAAGATCTTTCCTTGAAAGCATCACTGACCAGGAATTGGATCATCTGTGTCCCTCAGTTCCAGGAATGACCTTTCTTGTGTTGTATCCCATGTCAGAGCCAAAGTGCATAGCAGTTGGAAACCATTTAAGGCCACATTCGAGGTTAGGATGGAGAACTCTCAAGCATTTGCCATCCGAATCTATATCTTCTCAAGGTTGTACACATTGGAGATCATCTTGAAGCACTGAGCTAACATCACAATTTGGTACACTGTTTCTCCAAAGGTTTGATAGTCAACAGTTATAAAACTTAAAAGTAATTATACAAACATAATTAAAAATAACATGGCTATTCTAAATTGTATGATGGTTCTGAACCAGGACCCTAGGCCTAAACGTCACCAACTGAACAAATCAAAGGACCATGGTGAATCAGGTGAAATTTGTTGTGGTAACTGTGCTTATTCCCTAATTTTACGGAATTGGGTTTCTACTTCCCCAGAGTTTATCCACGTGCAATAGGTGGTGTTACTATCACATAGACACCTTGTTCAAAAAGTAAGTAAAAGAGGGCGATGTGATTGTCCAAAACTGCTTCTGACAATTAGTCAAGTGGTCCTTGTTGGGCTGCTTCTGCTTTGACTAGGGACGCGGCCGACTCCCCTGATGTTAGGGAGGGACAGCTGATCGTGTTGTCACTGGTACTTATTCCCACTGAGGGAGAAAGGCTCTCCCCGGGGAGGCAAACCTGGAGTCTCGGACACCTCTTGAAAGTTGTTTAAGGTGCCCATGAAGGTTCACCAGAGGGAAGCTACTGTTTTGTTATGAAGAAAAACGTAGAAGAGTGAGTGCAGCAAGAGCACACTGTCCTTTTATTCTCCAGCCATCAAGGTGATGGGCTGCCCAAGCCTAGAGGCCATTACCAAAATGTTCACACAGAAAAGGGTAGCCAGGAGATGCACATAGGGCTCCCTCCTAAGTAGTAGCATTTATGGACCTATTGTTGGTAGAGAGGTATTAGCATCTTTTAGTCAAAGCTCAAATACCATGTTATCACATACAGAAAGCCTTCCTATATGTGGCTATGACAGCCAGCTTACAAAGGGTCAACTTACATTGGCTGTTTTGTAGTGTCTTTTATGTATATATTATATATATATATGGAGTTGGGTTAAATTGAGCAGGACCAAGGGTTGTGGATTTAGTGTTCTATCCTGATAAAGGGGAACTACGGAACAGTTTAGGCATGCAGTGACTTTCGGGATTCTGGTTACATTACTTAGAGTGTAAACTAAGGGATCACTGTTATTGTGAACATATTGAGGTTTCTGGTGACAAATGAAACAATCAGAGAAGTTTCACCCTTTTGCAATAGATGGGAAATGTGGATGAGTGTTATCTGTCTGAGGAAGAAAGGGAGAAAATATAGTATAAGAAGCAACAGTGAGAAAGGGGTACACAGGACTAGTCTGGACATCTTGGGAAAACTTTGTCTCCATGAGATGTCATCTGCTTCAGTTCCTAGAAATATTTACTTTCAGGTCACCAGTCGGTGTGCAGGTCCAGTCGGGGTTTGGTACTCTCTTTTGATATGACGTGAATCCAGAAGTCTGTTCCCTGCAGTTTGGCAGCCCAAGGATTGTTTAATAGTACCTGGTAGGGGCCCTTCCAACAAGATTGAAGAGAGTACTTGTAGAGGTGTCTTTTCCAACAGACAAAAATCTCTGGTTGCAAGGTGTGATGTTCACGGCCATTGTCTCCTGGGAGCATGCTGTGAGAGGATGGTTCTACTACACAGGTCATTCTCAACAGCAGCAATAAGGCCTTTGCAGTGCTGGAGCAGATCTCCTTTCTTCAGCTCTGAATCAAAGGAGGCAGGAGCCAGGGGCCCCAGGCACCTTGCAACAGTCTCAAAAAGAGAGAGTTTGAGTCCCAGAGGGGTAGATCTGGAATTTAGAAGGATCAGTGGGGATGCTTTTGGCCAGGGTATTTGAAGGCTCTTTATAAATTTTGCCAATTGGGTCTTAATAATGCCATTAGTACATTTAGCCCTGAGGGTTGAGGGTAGTAAGTAGTCCAAGTGCTATAGGATCTGCACAGACCTGTCAAAGTCAAAGGACTTGACTAATGAGGTGGGCTCCCCAGTTACTAGGACATTTGAGAGGGGTTCCCCAGGTAAAAATAATATTTTCTAATAAGATTTTAGCCACAGAAGGCAACATAGCCTGTCTACAAGGGAAAGCTTCAGTCAAAATGAACAAACATATGAGCCATGACTAAAACATTTATATCCACGAGGGGGGAACAGAATAAAACCCATTTGCCAAATCTAGGCTGGGGGGGTCTCATGGATGGGTTTCTCAGAATTATATATTGGATTGGTGGATAAGCAAAATAGGTATTTTTTGCAGCCTTATTAATGGTTCCCCACCAGTATTGGTTCAGGAAGACTGTCATTTTGTCAGTAGACCAGTGACTTAATGCATGTACAGTGACAGGTAATAGAGATTTTAGTCTCTGGCAGGACTAGACTGTTACTTGGCCCAAGCTGGAGTTCTCTCTTTTTAGCGAACCAACAATTACTAGATTGCTGTTATTGCTTCTACCTTTCTGGGTCCATTTTGGGCATCTCTTGTCAGTTTTCCTAGATGATCATTTGCTGAATCATTCCTTTGGACCATGGCAGAGGTTTGGTTATTGATTCCTTTAAGAGCAGCATCTTTAGTAGTTTCCTTTGGCCTCCAGGGAGTCAGAGCTGGAATGCCCGGGAACCTCAGTAATAGCCAGAGCAGCTGGCACAAGTATGGCTTCTAACCAGCTTGGACGGTAGAGCCATTTTAATTTTATCCCATTAGAAGTAAGGGAAACTTGCTGTTTCCATAACATCTCAAGATCATGGACTTCCCCAAAAGCATATTGATTATAAGTATATAGATGTTTGTGGTTTTACCCTTGGCCAAGGTACACGCCCAGCTAAGGAGCGTACAATTAGGCCTGTGGGGCTGAAGGTAAAGGTGCTGCTTCAGTGACTTGGAAAGGAGTTAAAAAAGTGCACCCTGCGTGATACTTACCATTTTCATCTTTTAAATAAGACCTATCAGTAAACCATGAAAAATCTGCAATGGTTAGAGAACTTTTCTGTACATATCATGGAGTCAAAAGGTGATCTTTTCAGCATCAAGCAGCTACGATGGGTTTTGTCGGTGAAAGAGGGGAGAAGAATAGCAAGACTAAGGTTGTTAACAGCGGGAAAGAGTTCAAGCAGAGCAGTTGGCAAAGGCTTTCATAGGAGGTAAGATGACTGCCGAAAAGCACTGGATGCGGTGCGGACTCACGAGGGCCGCCTCATGGGGCACAGGGATGGTTGGAGGCACCCCACGGTCATTTCCTTGGTGGCCTTACCCAAAGGGCAATGGCGGGAATGGCTCTGAGACAAGGTGGGCTGTCCGTGGGCCCCAGGGCCTACTTGGTGGCTTGAATACCCTATGGGTTAATGATGCTTTCCATATTTTTGGGGAGTACTTGAAGGGCAATTCCCTTTCTTCTCACATACAAAAAGGAAAAAGGGGAGCTGACAATTGGGATGTCTGAAAGCAGGGACTTTATTAAGCTTTTCTTTAAGGCCCCAAAGGCTATGTTATCTTGATTTCCCAAATTATAGAGTCAGGTTTGTTGTTTCTTAGTAAAACGTATAGGGATTGGGCTGTAAGAGAAGCCTGGAATTCAACTGTGACAGTAACCAGCTAGCCTGAGCAGAACTTCATGATTGGCTCTTAGTTTTAGGTATTGGGAAGTTCAGGATACTGTGAAGCTGGATCTAAATGTAGTCCTTGCTCCGAGATTGGTACCCTAAATATTGAACCTTAAGTTTGAACAAACAGCAGTTTTTCTTTGGAGACTTTATGTTCTTCTTAGGCTGAAAGTGTTCCTGGGTGACCGCTGTCCCCCTGTGGAGATGCCTGGGAAAGGGAGCAGAGGGGCAAGTCATGCACACATTGTAGGGCCTCCAGGAGAGGTCGTGTCATCTAAGTCAGCTCTTAAGGTTTGCAAGAAATAAGAGGAACTCAGAAAAACCCTGGAGCAATACTGTCTGGGTATACATATTGTTTTCCTTTCCAAGTAAGGCAAAAAGATACTGGCTAGCCTTATCAACTGGAATACTAAAGAATGCCCTGCACAGATCAATTATAGCAAAAAATTTCATGGAATTTTAGTTATAGTGAAAAATCCCAGTAGGAATAGTTGCTAGTAGTGTATGGGGTTAAGAACAACAGGGTGCTGAGGGATACTGATGTTATTTATTGCTTGGAGGTCCTGCGCAAACCAACATCCTTGGCCACTGGGTTTTCTTACAGGTAAAATAGGGGTGTTACAAGGACTAATGCAGGGGATAATGAGGTCCTGAGCCTTATAATCTATTATAGGCGTGATGCCTTGGATGGCTTCTTTATTTATAGGGTTTTTATTGATTAACTCTGGGAAGAGGTGGTGAGGGATCTATTTGAATCTTACTAGGAGGTACACTG